TTGTCATGATAATTGCAATGCAACATTGCATTAGATTTTTTTTTAACACGTATCAATATTTTATGGATGTTCATGGTAGCGTTATTAAGTTGAATTTAGGCATCACATCAAGGACGAAAGTAGATGGACATTAATGAAAATTGTGATACCAAACTGAAAGTTTTTTTCTTTAAGTATTAATTGATAAAAATATATATAGTATAAAGTTATTTTTATATTTAACCCTTATTTTATTTCTAATATATAGACTACAAGAAATAAGATTTTATTATTTAAAATGAAATTTATGGGTCATAATTCATAAAAAAAAGGATATATCAAATATATATTTAATATAAACTAATATTTATATTTTTATATATTAAAAAATATTTTATCAATTTAAAAAACTATTTTTGTTTATATAATTGATATTATGGATATGATGGTTGACGGATATTTTTAATAAAATTTGGTATACAAGAATAAAAGTGATATGCAAAATTGTTTAAATTATCAAGCAATAAAACTTATGAATTATATCATGAAACTTTAGAAAAGAATAACTAAATGTAAGATGCGAACGAGGTCACTATTTTCGAAAATTAATTTGGGTTTATGCTAAGATACTCCACAATAGAGGCACTTTACTTATTAAGACTTTTGTTATAGGGTTTTCGGGCAAGAAATATATATATATATATATATATGATATTAATCAACTTGGAGAAAACAAATAATAGAGTTTCTTGATAGATGCTTTAATAATATTTAATGAAAAAAAGAGTTATTTTTAAAGTATATTAACATAGTTAAAGATATGTGTGAAGAAATTGTAACGAATGTGAGGATGTTTAAGAGCTTCATTGATAGTTTTCCCATTATTTCAAGATTACATCAAGGCTCAGCACTATTTCATTTTGCATTAGTTATGAACAAGCTCACTGGATATATCTAAGATAAGGTCCTATGGTTTTATGTTATTTGCTGATGATATAGTCTTAGTTGTTGAAACTAGTAATGATCTTAATGCAAAATTAGAATTATGGAGAAATACGCTAAAGCCTCAAAGTTTTAGATTGAGTAGATCTAAAATTGAATATATGAAATGTAAGTTAAATAGTCATAGGAAAGTAAGTACTAGTGTGATTAAATTGAATGGTAAGGTAATACCAAGAAGTGGTCATTTTTTATATTTGGGATCAATTATTTATAGTAACGTTAAGATAGAATATGATGTAAATCATAAGATTTAAGTAGGATAGATGAGATGACAAAATGAATCAAATGTGTTGTGTGATCGAAATATACGTTTAAAGTTACAAGCAAAATTATATAAAACAATTGTAAGGCCTGTATTCTTATATGTGACCAAATGTTGGATTGTTAAGAAATAACATGTGAAAAAAATTAGTATAGTTGAGATGATGATGCTGAAATTGATGTATAGTAAGACGAGAAGAGATAAAATTAGAAATAAAGAGTTTGAGAAAAATTAGGGATAATTTGAATTGAGGAAAAGATAAGAAAAAACTGTTGAAATGGTTTGGATATGTGAAACATAGACCTATTTATGCACCAATTAGGAGAAATAAGTTTTCAGCTTTGAAAAAGACCAAAACTTCTAAAAGAAGACCATGAAAGATATGGATGCAAGTAATAAGAATATGATATAAAGATTAAGGAAGTATATGAAAATATTTTTAATAAAAATGAATAGTATAAAAAAATTCAAAACTATGACGTAACATAATTTATTTTTTTTTGTCTTTCATATTATCGACTCAAGAGTAATGGGGTATAATACTTAGTTTGTTATTGTTGTATCATTGAAAAAAAATTTTTGACAATTTAAAATATGATACTATAACATGATACGAAAACAATATAGAAAAAAGACACAAAAGCGATACAGTTTAAAGTTTTTAGTAAAAACTATATATGAATCTAACAAAACAAAAAATATATTTTATGTTTTAGTGTTGACACGAATTGTAATATGTAATTTTTATATAAAACACGATATGAATATATAAATTATTAGTATTTTACAAAATGCAAATATACAAATTGTCAAATCTATAAATAATACATTAAATGTAAAATTTAAAATTTTCACTCAATATATAAAATAAGAATTTGTATTTCCCATTACTTCTTTGGGTTGATAAAAGAAATGTTAATTCTATAGGGAGTGCCATAATTTTCCAAGAAAATGGTTAAATATAAAATGGCACATATACTATATATTTTATATTAGTTTGGTACCTAAGTTTTCATTTCCGTTATCTATATTAGCACCTTGAATTAACTTATTAGTGAACTTGCTGACTTGGAATGAAAATTGAACAAGATGCTAATACATACCAAAAAATTTAGTTAATGTCATATTATCAATTATCATGTCAATATTAAATGAAATTTTCAAAAGAATTTTAAAATTCTAAAATTTTAAAAATTATGAAAATTCAAAAAAATCTTAATAATTTAATAAAAAATTCAAAAAAAATTAAAAATTCTAAAAGTTAAAAAAAATGAAAAGTATAATAAAAATAAAATTTTCTTAAAATTCAAAAAAAGATTCATAAAAACTTTAAAAAACTAAAACTAAAAAAATCAAAATTTTTTAATAAAATTTGAAAATTAATAAAAATATAAAATTTTCTCAAAAAATTCTAAAAAATTAAAAAATTTTGAAACATTCTAAAAAATTTACAAAAATTAAAAAAATTAAAAAACAATTAAAAATTTAATAAAAATTTTAAAAATTTATGAAAAATTCAAAAATATATAAAAATTTAAAATTTAAAGATTAAAAAAAATGAAAACTTTTCATTTTTATACAGTTTTAAAAATTTTAGATTTTTTCAAACAATTTTAGTTTTTTTATTTTCAAAATTTTAAGTTTTTGTGAACTTTTTTTAAATTTTATGAAATTTTTATTTTTGTTAAAATTTTTAATTTTTTGGATTTTTATTAAAATTTTGTGATTTTTTGAATTTCTTAACTTATCATAGCTTTTCAAAATTTTCAAAGATTCCTTTTTTTAATAATTGTTTTTATAATTTTCATTTTTTTAAAATTTTTTAGAATTGTTTTTAGAATTTTTTAGATTATTTGAATTTTTCTTTGAATGTTAAAGTGATAATTTATGATGTGGCGTTTACTAAACTTTTTTGACATATATCAATATCTTATTAAATGTTCATTTTACATCAACAAATTGATTGACGATGCTAGTTTTAGGTAAATGAAAGAAAGTTGAAATATCAAACTGATAATTTTAAGGTTAAATATAAAAATGGCTTTAAACTATATAATATTGTCAGTTTGATAACTAAAGAACTAAAATTGCAAGATTGACATTTGAATTTTCATTACATTATCACTTTGGTTTCTCGAACTAACGCCATTAATTAATTTTATTGATGTGACATAAACATGTAATAAAATGCTGATATATGTTAAAAAATTTAATCAGTGCCACTTTATTAATGCCACATCAACATTAAAAGAAAATTTCAAAAAAAGTTTAAAAAATTCTAAAACATTCTTAAAATTTTGTTAAAATTTTTTTAAAATTTATAAAATTAAAAAAAACTTTAAAAATTAAAAAAATTCTAAAAAACTTTAAAATAATTAAAAAAATTAAGGATATTTAAAAAGATTTCACAAAATCTCAAAATAAAAAAAAACTAAAAAAATTCATAAAAGGAAAATTTTAATAAAAATAATAATTTCATAAATTTAAAAAAATTTCACAAAAAGTTAAAGATAATTAAAATAAAAAAAATCTATTTTTTTTGAAAAAAATAAAAGCTGTAAAAAATTATAAAAATTTCTAAAGAATATTCTAAAAATTTTCATAGTTTTTTTTGAATAGGTACAGTTTTAATTTTTATATATTTTTTGAATTTTCAAACGCTTTTTTTTTTTTTGGAAATTCTTTGGATTCTTATTAAATTTTCAAGTTATTTTTTATTTTTAATTTTTGAACATTTTTTAATTGTTATGAATGTTTTAAGATATTTGATTTTTCAAAAATTTTTTGAATTTTTTAAAAATTTATAATTTTTTAAATTTTGAAAAATTTTCAAAACTTATAATTTTTTTAATTTTTAGTTTTTAATTTTGTAATTTTTTAAACTTTAAGAAAATTTAATTTTTATTAATATTTTCAAATTTTTTGAATTTTTATTTAAGTTTTGAATTTTTTAAATTATAATAGTTTTTATAATTTTTAAAAATATGTCTTATTTTTGAATTTTTTAATAAATTTCAAATTTTCTGAAAATTTTTAAAGATATTTGAAAATATTTGACTTTTGAAAAAATTTTAAAAACTTTTTTGAATATTTTAAAAATTTTTAGTATTTGTACGAGATTTTTTTGAATTAAAAAATTTTTTTTTTTATAAAATTTGAAAAATTTTAAATATTTTTTAGAAACTTTCTAAAACTATTAATATTTTTTAAAAATGTTTTGAATATTTTTTTTAAATTGAAAAGTTTTTAGAAATTTAAAATTTTTTAGAAATGTTAAAATTTTATAGAATTAAAAAAAATTTAGTATTTTAAAGAAATTTTTTGAATTTTTAAATTTTTTTGAAATTTAAAAAGTTTTAAAATTTTTTTGACTTTTTACAATTGTTAGAGTTTTTAAAATATTTTAGAATGTTTAAAATTTTTTTAAATTCTTTTATATTGACGTAGCATTGATGAGTGATGTTGATTAATTTTTTTTACATGTATCAATATTTTATTAAATGTTTATATTACGTCAATAAAATTAACCAATAGCATAAGTCTGAGTTACTAACGTAATAATGAAATGAAAAATTTCATACTAATCTGATAATTTTGTCTCTTTTGATAACATATTAGCAGAAATTGTATAGTTAAAGTTCAATATTTAACCAAAATTTTATTCTTTAAGATACTAAAGAGTGTATAATAAAAGAATTATTTTTATTAAAAAAAAGCCTTTTTAATCAATTAAGGAAAAAAAAAAAAAACGGAAAGGAGATTCCAGCAGAACAATTGTGTCAATTGTGTTTTTGGCTTTATTCACTTTCATATGGCCAAGTAGAGTTGCGCTGGTCTAGTTACGGGTGTCTCTGCTTCTAGTGGTCTCTGCTGTTCTGTTTTTGTTTCACAGAAAACGTGCAGCTGGAATTTCCTTCATGGGGTTTAAGGTTTGACAACACATTCTTATTCACCCACACGTTTTCTCAGTGCTTTCCCTTTCACTCTTTCCTTGGTATTTTTCATATTCTTCAAAGTACTTCTATTTGGTCCCTTGGAAAAAAAAGAAAAGAAAAGAAATTCATTGCTTTTCCATGGCTTCATGTGAGTATCTCACTTTCTCTTTCTATGTATTTTTTTTAGGTTAAGTAGATTGAGAGTTTTATTGGGTTTTGGTTATCTTGAAGTTTGAATGCGTAAAGATTTTTTATTTTACTTATTCTTTTTGTGGCTTGGTTCTTGAATTAGCTTTTGCACATAGGGGGAATGGGTATCTGTTAATTTTTGTTTTTGTTTTGTTGAGAGACTGGGATATTGTTGAATTGATTTTTTTTCCTTGAATGCAAAAACATTGTGGTAAAGTTGTCATCTTTGAGTGTGTTGTGCTTTCCCTGTTGATTCGTAATATTGTCAAAATTCAATATTTATTGTCATCTGGATTTGGTTTTGTGATTTTAGGATGCTTAGCTTTTTTCGAAATTGTTCACTTTGGCTCCGATTCACTAAGATTGTTCTTACAAATTGGTGTTCATACACGATTTTCTGGATGGAAAAGTGTTTGCCCCCTTGTGATTTTGTCTTAAACTTTTTTATAAGTTATAATTTCACTTGTGGTTATGTCTGGTATGTAACTAATGGTGTTGCTGCTGCATTCTTGTAATATCAATGAGATAACATTTACTATAATCTTTGTTGACAATTTTATCAAATTTACGACCCATGTCTAAGTTTTATTGTGAAATTTGTGTTTCCACTAGTTTTTTCTTTTTCCTTTTGTTATAAAATCAAAATGTTAAATAACCTTTTTATTGTAGCTAAGAAGGTCAATCCGATTATTATGTTCTAATGCAGTATGTTAGACATTTATAAAATGTGAGTTCATCTAACATGTTCTGTTGTCTGAACTTTTGGGATAAGTGTAAAGCTTTTAATTTTCTAACCTTTCATGTCTCCTTGGGGGCCTTTGATTCACATGCATCTTGTGATGCATGCACTGTTGTAATACTTGAGTCAGCATCTTCCATCCTTTGCAGGCAATAACAGTTGATTTATACTGTTATGCTGGGAGCAGAAATCTGTATTTTTTTGGTACTTTTATCTAACATACACACTCTACGCAGAGTGAACCTAACATGTTAATAGTTTCTGTTTCTGCCACCAGATATTGACTGATAAAGTTGTCAAATTGCTTGTAGTACTGTAATGCATCTATACTTACATAACACAATGCAAGCCTTGCAGTGCTGCCACATGTGTTGTGTGTAATATCATCTTTAGGACTGATGCCTTCCATTCTTTGTATGAGATGTAAGCCACAAGTTAGACCGTAGAAATGGCTTGTAGATAATAGATGCTTCATAGTTTATTCATCGTCGTGGTATATGTCTTTCTCACTTTGGAAAAAATGAAATGCGAGCATATTGATTATTGTAGGTGAGAATTTGAAAAATTATTATGATGTTTCTTTTCCTTGTACTTCTTTTTTTCTTTTTCTAGTTGTTGAATATTGATTTTAAAGTCTGCCTTCATATTCTTAAATTCCAGAACTTTGTTTTGGACATTACTAATCTGACACAACTGCTCTGATTGCCTTGCCACAGAATCAATAAAGATTTTTAGCAATTAATCATTTTATCATTAAGGAATTTTTGTATTTGTGTATGTGCGCTTTGGTCATGGATCACTTGCTCTTATTTCAGGTAGCATAGGAGCTCCAAATATCAAAATTCCAAAGTTGAGTTTTGGAAAAGCAAGAGTTGATAATTTAAAAATGAATAATGTAAGAATATGGATGAGGCAAAGACAACTGCAATATACCGCCCAGGTAAGACGCTCAAAGAAGGTATTCAGCATTGGTAGTGGTCAAGCTTTGGAATCCCAGGGTGAGTACTTTTTGTGGTTATAACTCTCACAATTTTTTTAGTTCCAGTAATCTTTCATAGCCAAACTCTCTTATTATATATTTTTGTCGAGGGATAAATGCAATTATATCTGCTTGATCTACTTTAATGCATTGTGCTGTAAGGTATGGCGATATAAAGAATTGACACAATGAACTTTGGTGCTCTCAATAGTAGTTTTTCTGATTCTTGAAGAAATACATTTCACATTGTTGCAGTCTCATGAGGACATATATTCTATGTTCTTCTGCTTGTTTCAGATTTAGTAAAAATTTACCCATGAATTGCTTTGCAGACTAATCTTTCCTTAAAGTCTTTGGTAATTTTTTTGGCACATAACTCCTATATACATCTATTTACGCATGGTAGTTGTGCGAGTGTATAACAAATGAAAGATACATACACACGCAACATATGCACATGCATAATTTATTAGTACATAAATATAGAAGTAGTTTTTAGTTTATTTGTTTTGGAGGTGAATAATGTGATTGAATAACAGTGTCTATGGTGCAAGTTGGTAATATTCAATTCATCTGTCTTTCTGGTTCTAATGTCCATTCAAATTTGTCGAAATAGGGATAGTCTATAATGTTGCTGTAATTTAAAGTCATTCTCACTTCGTTATAGAGGTTATAAAAATCTCTAATCAGTCTCTATCCTGTAAGGCTTTGAGAGAAAAAAAAAAGTAGGAAAAAAATTACAATGTGGGGAAGGAGGGAAAGAAAAGAACTGCTGTAACTATTGAAGCTTGTTTGGATCTGTAATAATTTCATGAAATATCTTGTTTGTGAAATATCCAGATACTTGTGTCTCAACTGCTCGATCCTATTGCATTTAAGGTTCATGTACATGCTACTCATTGGGAAAAAAAATCTTGTTCCCGATTGTTTCTGGTCATTTGTCATTTTATTTGCTGTCTTATCTCAGAGTAACCACTGTCAAACATGGAAATGAAGTACCCCACTGATTAAAGTGTGTAAATTTGAATATTTTGAAGTTTTGCCATCATCTCTGTTTTTTGCTTTTTAAGTTTTCTAAACTACATGATTTGTTGTAATGTCCACATCATTTTGGTTGCTGACTTGCAGCTACTACAAATTTAGCAGATGATTCTGAAGAGACTAAAATGTCTGTTTTGACTAGCCAGCTTATTCCAAATTCATCTGGGGTGAGTTCATAATTGTTTCTTTTGTAAATCATTAATGCAAGCATGTATGTTATGCCACATCAGTATTGCCATTCTTTTTTTCATCTTTAAATTAAAAATACTTTATCTAGTAGACCTTTGAAGTTAACTGGGTAATTAGTGAACTGTGCTTGCATAGCTGTTTCAAGTTTCAACTATGTTTTAAGCCGCTGTGAAGAAACAATATATGGGATTTGGAGAAAATGAAGTAATTGATTTCTCTTTTTTTTTTTTTTTTAATGTACTCAAACGTTAGAAATTGGGAATAAATATGTGAAAATTGCCTGCTTAGGGACTTCTTTCAAAAATGAATGAAAAATCTTACCTTCAGCTTATATTTTGGAAGTTTGTAGCTTACAATTTCTAACTGCAGGTGGAATCTTTGGTCAGAGATATATGCAATACAACTTCAATTGCAGAGTTTGAATTAAAAGTAAGCAGGTTTTAATTTCTTGTGCCGCAAATAGCTTGATAATGTTAATGGCTTTTCTACTTGAATTGTTTCTGTTTCGTATCCGAAGCAATTACAGATGTTGTGGTTTTGAGAGTCTTTCTGTTCTGTCTTCATTTGCTAGCTTGGTGGATTTCGGCTATACATAGTGAGGGACTTGGCGGGAAAAAGTGAACATCCACCTGCGATCCCAAGTCCTCCTCCTGTCAGTGTCAGCACCAATAGAACTGTTGAAGCAACTGACTCAAATGGGGCTGTTTCTTCACCTTCTTTAGCTGTCACCAAACCACTATCTTCTTCAGGGAGAATCCAATCCTTACTTGATAAAGCTGCAAATGAAGGCTTGGTGATGCTTCAGTCTCCGAAGGTGAGAATATGAAATTTAAATTCTTCTGTTGCTTTGAACTCATAGATGTAAGATGATAAATTATGCAGGTAGGTTTCTTCAGGAGATCACGAACCATAAAGGGGAAGCGTGCTCCACCATCGTGTAATGAGGTAATACTTCAATGGATTTTGGTAAGAGTATTTGTTTATATCAGGGGCCCAAATAATAGATTGCTTTGATCACATTAGCAGAAAGGGATAATGTTTTTTCTCATTTAGCCATAGCATCCAAAATGGTTTCTGTTTTTCATCCTTTTATTTTCCAATGTGTTGTCTCCAAGAGACAAAACATAAATGAAACCATTGATTTGGAAGCCATCATTGGTTCCCTTGTACTCTCAAGTGTTGCTTTCGTTTCCATATGTTAGAGGTTCTGTTGAGAAATTCTGAGCTTGTTTTTGCGACAGGGGCAAATAGTGAAGGAGGGCCAGGTTCTTTGCTACATTGAACAACTAGGTGGTGAAATTCCAACGGAGGTATAAATCTTGACTTGATGGGAATTACCATGTGTTTACTTTTGTATGTTGACTGATGGAAATGAGGGGTTGATTTCACCCTACGTGTCTTGCTACTTACTTTTCATGCATGCTTCTGTTTATATGATCAATGAATCTGGGTTTTGTTTCTAATTCTGATCATTCTTTCACCAGTCGAATGTGTCCGGGGAGGTCATAAAAATTCTAAGAGAGGATGGTGGTATGTGTTGTCACTTTTCAGTACATTTCAGTCTCACCTCGTCATCTAGTCTTACTTGTTATGCTTACATGACAGATCCCGTAGGATATGGTGATGCTCTTTTCGCACTACTCCCTTCTTTTCCGGGGATAAAGAAGCTTCAGTAGATAATTTAGTTAATTTGATTGCTATCCAATCATGGTGCTTAATAGTTTATCACAGATGTAAGCTTTTAATAGAATGAATACCACATGACTCTAGCTAGCTCTAGCATTCCTCCAGTGGTACGAGGATTTATTTAAAAAATAAAAATAAAAGCTCGATCAAAGCAAAATTTTCATGTGATCGACGAATTTTTTAGTTGGAGAAACTATTTCTTTATTGGTTGTAATTAAAATTAAAAATTATTATTAAATCAAATAATTTTATATTTCACATATTACATAAATACATTTATGAAAAAATTAATAAACATTAATTAAATAAATTTTTGTGCATGACGTATGTCTTAATATATATCGCACATTCATTTGCTTTTACATATTTGATTATGCAATCAATATTTCTTTACTAGATAATGGTGTACCGTTGTACAATTATATTTTTCTTTTAAAATTTTTCTAAAAAAGTAAAATTGAAAAAAATTACTTCTCGTTTTATATTAGCTTTAAATTTCAGAATTACTTTTATAATACTTTATTTTTCATAGAAAAAAATTATTAAACAAGAACTCTATATTTTTAATTTATTCTTGTTCTGTACCAAACATATAATTTTTGTATAGTCAAGTGAGGAAAATTTTTTTAACTTATTATAAATAAATTTAATCATAGCATTTTCAAACTTCAATCCTTTCTGTACGCTTATTCTCTTTCCAACACGAGCTGAAAGGTAAATCTATTCCTTTCACCCCTTAAACAATTTATTCGTGTACTGTGGGAAGGTTGTGCTCTGTCTTGATTTCGATTGAGAATACCATCTCCTTTTGCTGCAATCACACAGCAACGCACACGAGTTATGCCTGCAGGCAAGGAAACATATGGGTGTTCTTGAAACCAAAATGGAAGAACTAAAAGCATTAAGAAATGACGTGAAGAGAAGAGTTCAGATTGCTGAAAGGCAGCATATGAAGCGGCTTAACCAAGTTGAATGGTGGCTTTCAAGGGTTGAAGTTTTGGAAGAAGTTGATGATCTGATAGAGAAAATTGATCATGAAAAAAAATGTGATGGATGTTGCTGCCCTAAGAATTGCTGGTCCAGTTACAAGCTAGGAAAAAATGCTGCCAAGACGTTAAAAAAGGTGAGAAGACACATAAAGAAAGGCCAATTTGAAAAGGTGGCTGAAACACTAACTCCAGTACCAGGGGATATAAAGCCTTGTGAACAAATTGTGGGCATGGAGTCCATGTTTACTACTGTTTGGAACTGCCTCTGTGAAGATCAAGCAAGAATCGTTGGCTTTTATAGAATGGGAGGCATTGGCAAAACTACTCTCATGACTCAAATCAACAACATGCTCCTTAGCCATCCTAGCAATGTTGATTTTTTGATCTGGGCAGTGGCTTCTAAAGACCTAAAGCTAGAAAAGATTCAAGAAGAGATTGGGGAAAAGATAGGATATTCTGACAATAGGTGGAGAAATAAAAGTATTGAGCAAAAGGCTATAGCCATATACAAAGTCCTAAGTACTAGGAAATTTGTTTTGCTGTTGGATGATTTATGGGACCGAATTAATCTAACAAAAATTGGAGTTCTTATACAGACCAACAAAATAACTCCAAGGTAGTCTTCACTACACGTTCCAAAGAGGTGTGTAATCTGATGGAAGCCTATAAAAGTTTCAAAGTAGAGTGTTTGCCATCACCTTTTGATTGGCATTTGTTTCATAAGAAGATTGGAAATGATACTCTCAACCTACATCCAGATATTCCGATGCTGTTGAAAATTGTGGCCAAAGAGTGCACTGGTTTGCCACTAACACTTATCACCATTGGTCGAGCCGTGGCCTGCAAGACGACACCACAAGTATGGATTCATGCAATTGAGGTTTTAAGAAAATGTACCTCAGAATTTCCAGGTATGGGGGATAAGGTCTTTCCTCTTATGAAGTTCTTTGGTCATTTACCTAAGGAGAAAATCAGATCTTGCTTCTTATATTGAGATCTTGCTTCTTATATTGTACTTTATTTCCAGAAGACTTTGTCATTCGCAAAACTGATTTAATTGGATTTGTGAGGGAATTTTATATGAATGTAATGGTAGACATGGAGCTCAAAACCAAGGGTATGACTTTTTGGGACCCTTGTATATACACGTTTGTAGGAAAAAGAAGGTCATTATGTGAAATTGCACAATGATATTTGTGATAGGGCTCTGTGGATAGCCAATCGGTGCAATATTTTTGAGGAAGGTATTTTAGTGCAAGCAGGTGTTTGATTAATTGAAGCACCAGAGATCAAAAAATGGCAAGCAGTCAGAAGGATATCACTGATGGCAAATTGCCTTGAGAGTCTAATCGAAACACCTGCATGTCCCAACCTGCTAACCTCGTTTCTCATTGAAAACACATTGAAGACAATCAGTAATGACTTCTTCCAATCTATGCCTAATCCAAGAGTGTTAGACCTGTCCTGCAACAGTGGCATAACTGAATTGGCCCAGGGAATCTCAAAACTTGTTTCCCTGCAATATCTTAATCTATCCAAGACAAGTATAAGACAGTTGCCAGCTGAGCTCAAGTCCCTGCAAAGGCTGAAATATTTGAACTTGAAGGATACAATTGCATTTAAAACAATTCCAGGCCAACTGATATCCAGCTTTCCATTTTTACAGGTGTTGAGAATGCTTAATTGCATTTCTTCTGATCTGATTGTGCAAGGAAATATTCTGTCTGGGGGAAATGAGTGATAGGTCAAGGAATTGCAATGTTTGAAACAAATGAGTATGTTGAGTCTCACAGTAAGGAGTGCTTTAGCACTTGGAGGACTTTTAAGCTCCCAAAAGTTCATGAGTTGCGCTAAAGACCTATGCCTTCAGTTTTTAAGTGGTTCAAATATTCTAAATATTTCATGTTTAACAGATATGAACCAGCTCAATATGCTAGATATCTCAGACTGTAAGAGTTTAGAAGAGCTGAAGCGTGATTGGTTACAGGAACCAAGAAGAAAACTAATATCTGTCGATTTCCACAGCTTATGATCCTGAAAGGACAGGTGGTTCAATGGCCTTCAAAGAGTAAGTGTAGACAACTATAAGCAATTGGGGGATTTGACATGGCTTATGCTTGCCCCAAACCTTGCTAGTCTTTGCATATCAAGATGCTCCCAAATCAAAGAAATAATTAGCACAGCCAAATGTGCATCACTTCCAGAGAAAGTAGGAAGTATTAAGCCATTTGAACAGCTTGAAGTTCTCCATTTGTCTTACCTACCAAAACTAAAATGCATTTACCCCTTCCATTTTTAAGTCTTAAGAAAATCTCCATATTTGGGTGTCCAAAACTGAAGAAGCTTTCGGTCAATGCAAAGAATGCTGAAGGACATGGCATTGCCATTCATGGATGGGAATTTTGGTGGAAAGAAGTATGATGGGATTATGAGACAACTAGGAATTCTTTTGCTCCCTGTTTCAAATCTAGGCCCCTGAACATCTCCCCACAGTGACTTACAAGTGCAAAAAACTGCATTATCAAGAACAGCTTTGACTTGCAGATGATTGCTTCTCTTCATCATGGATTACTTTTTCTTGATAATGAAAAATCTACATGTTTATGGCATCATTCTCATTTTTCTTCTTTTGCTAAGAGAATTATACCTTTGATGAACTCACAGAACTTGAATTTGTGCTGTAATAAACCATATGATTGGAGATTTTCTATGCTCATGCAACTTTATTCATCATCAGGTCATGCAAGGCTTGAAATTTAATCTTTAAGACAGTTTAGAAAGTAGTAAAAAAAACACTCATAATTAAGGTCTAATTTTTAACTTTCATGGACTAATATCTATCTCTTTTGTACAAGGCATGCACATACAAATATTAAAGTGAAAAATATATACCTGTGCTGTGTTATGATTGTCCACACCATGACACTGAATTGTGACTTGTTAAAACATACTTAAAGTCTTGAACACATCATAAATTCTACATTCCATGTTAGGAGAAACAATACAAATTATTATCTGCATGCTTGTTTAAAAAATGCAACAGGCACTCTTACTAGGAAGCTTCTATAATGCAATAACCAAACAAATAAAGACAACAGGCTTAATCAATGTGTTATAAACCAACCAACATTGTCTATCTTTGATGTTGTACAATTTTTTTTTTTTCAAACCACAATCTCCTTTTCATTCAACAAATTATGAACCTAATACCATCTCATCCAAGCTAAATTCATTTATCAATTAAAGGGCAACCACTAATACCTCATGTTCACGTGAAGATCCCTTTTCAAATTAATGCATAACTCTATCTAATAGAGTCAACCGACCAGGCTCAGATACTTAAATTCTGACATATCAGTTAGTTTACTTACTTGTCAAGCTAAGTAGAAATTTGTTATCATATTTCAAAACCTAGTCGCCAATTCGTTAGCCAACTTTTAGGTCTGGGTTTGATAGAGCATACTACACATCCTAGGTGATTAGTAAAAGACGCATAAGCATTTACTATAGGCGGTTATTCAGTCCAAACTACTTTTTGTGATTAATGTAAGCTCTAAACTTGCTAATTTGCTTTCTGTCATCAAACAGAAGATGCAGATAAATGAAAGTTGAACTCGCAAGGTGCTTCAAAGACAAATTTTGGGTGGCATTTTGTACAATGAACTGATCATATCCAACCAATAAGCCACATAAAAATTTTAGAACAATTGACTAAAAAGTCTGGCTTTTACAACAAGCTAAATGATCAAGGCTTTTCTTTCTTGATATTTTACTAAAGCTACCAGCAACTATATTAAGCATTAATAATGTACCAAAACTCATTAACATGGGGACAAAGCTATGTCAAGTTGGTGTTGTAGTAATCTCATGTTGATGGACTAACCAAATCATGACATATCCAATCACATTAGTATGATTTTGATTAAATTGTGACCTATGTTATTTTTGGATATACTCATAATGGATATACTCATAATTGGATAACGTGATATTTGCTAGCAAGAGGCTCCCTGCTCTTATCCTTGTATAAATAGTTACATGGCCTATTAAGGAAACTAATTTCAGTTCAAGGAAAGAAAGAGAGCAGAAGCATTCTCTCCAACAACCAGAAAAGACAACTCCCTACTGGCATGCAACGTTGACCATCATGAAGCCTGCAACCACCAGTGAGTCAAGCGGCATCAATGAAGTCACCTCCCTTCAGCAGCGGCTTGGGCACCTTTAGTTCATTTTGCTTCAACTCTACCCACTTAAAGGTTAGTGT